TCTCCTGCTACGGCTTTCTCCTCTTCCCTGCCCATGCCACCTTCCCGATCCCACCAGCAGCACGTCTGTGAATTCCCACTTGCTCGGAGGAGCATTTAAGGGCAACAATCTGGAAAAGGCAGGAGCAAGGCAGCTCCTGGAAGCCACAGCTTCAACACGGGGGCTCCGCTGCACCCTGACCCAGCGTCCCACCCAGCGTCCCACCCAGCGTCCCACCCGCCTGGGCATGGGAACACCCGTGGGAACTCCAACACCGCTGGGAGAGGTCCTGGCCATCCGGCAGCTCAGAGACAAAAGCACCACACGTGCACGTGACAATTCAGGAGCAAAAGCAGCCAGGGACTCTCTGAAAACCAGAGCCAGGGCTGGATGTGTCCTCTGGACTCTTGCGGGATTCCTCCGGGAAGAGGGAGGCTGGAGCAAGAAACCCATCACGGGGGTTGGATTAGGTGACCTCTAGGGGTCCCTTCCACCCCAAAGCATTTTCTATGATTCTGTGATTCTATGATTCTATGATTCTATGATTCTATGATTCTATGATTCTATGATTCTATGATTCTATGGACGTCATGCAGCCGGGGAGCAGAAAGAATAAGGTGGTTAAATAGGAAACGTGCATGGACATGGGCAGGCAGGTACGGCCGAGCTGGCGTGCAGCCCCCGAGGGGTTATGGTCTCCTGCTACGGCTTTCTCCTCTTCCCTGCCCATGCCACCTTCCCGATCCCACCAGCAGCACGTCTGTGAATTCCCACTTGCTCGGAGGAGCATTTAAGGGCAACAATCTGGAAAAGGCAGGAGCAAGGCAGCTCCTGGAAGCCACAGCTTCAACACGGGTGCTCCGCTGCACCCTGACCCAGCGTCCCACCCAGCGTCCCACCCAGCGTCCCACCCGCCTGGGCATGGGAACACCCGTGGGAACTCCAACACCGCTGGGAGAGGTCCTGGCCATCCGGCAGCTCAGAGACAAAAGCACCACACGTGCACGTGACAATTCAGGAGCAAAAGCAGCCAGGGACTCTCTGAAAACCAGAGCCAGGGCTGGATGTGTCCTCTGGACTCTTGCGGGATTCCTCCGGGAAGAGGGAGGCTGGAGCAAGAAACCCATCACGGGGGTTGGATTAGGTGACCTCTAGGGGTCCCTTCCACCCCAAAGCATCCTATGAAACCCGATAAAACATCACACTCGGAACAAAACCCAGCAGAGCTGCAAGACATATTTGAAGGATAAGAATACTACTCCTCACTCCCAGCATTCTTATGCTTTACAGCAGACCCAAAATAGCTACTCAGCGATCAGGGACCTACTGCGCTGAGCGGTATTTGCAAGTAAACCCTCCCTCAAAGGCTTCAGGTCTTGGTATTGAAGACCCTCAGCCCAAACCCTTTTTGGGAAAGGCAATAGCATCGCATACACCCCCCATCACCTGGCCCCTCTGCATCCAGAGGCCTCCTCAAATATCACTTGAAAGCCAAGTTCTTAATTGTAAGGTTAAATGAGAGCAAAGGAAGGAGAGAAACCTGTTGGAGCATCACCAGGGCCCGGGAGGGAAGAGGCAGACGGGCCCAAGATATTCCAGAAACTAGAGCACCATCCCGCTGCGGAACCAGCTCTGCCACCGCCGAACCCTGTGCAGCTGGTAAAGACACACTTGGGCTGACCACGACACGAGGAGACGGTTGCCAAAACAAGGGAGAGGCCCTTTTTTAAACCTCGAGCTCCATTTCTGCAACGGTCTTGCCCTCCAAGCGCACCCAGATGCCCCACTGCGGTTCGCCAGCCTCCACCGGCCGAGCCAAGCGCTCCCAGGCCAGCGTCTCCTCCTCCAGGAACCCAGCTAAAGGATGAACAAACACGTTAAAGGCTTCACACGGGGAATAAACGGCAAAAGATAAAAGATGTAAGAAATTAGATCTGTCTTTTGTAAGGAATTTAATGACTACAGCTGTTCGGCATCATTAACCAGTTTGTCTTGGAGGTTTAACCCTCCCGCCAGCCCCAGCTCTGCTGGCGAGCAAACCCTCGGGTACCAGCGGAGCCGCCCTGGGCTGCGGCAGCAGCAAAGCCTTGCTCCCTCCCCGGGGAGGGGGACGGGGATGATAAAGAGTCATTAAAAGCTTTTACTACCTGTTGCTATCCAGCAAACCGATTACAGCAGAGTGCCAGGCAGGGAGAGAGCTCTGTGCTAAGAGCAGCCAGCTAAAAATGGATCCCCCGTCCTGCCCGCCCGGGGACAGCATGCCCCACGGCCTCCCCAGCGTCCCTTCCTCGCCTGACTGTAAGCGTGGGGGGAAAAAACCCAACCCTGAGATTTTAACAGACCTACAAAGAAGCAAGACTTGTTGGAAGTGAAGTGCTTGACCCTTGTCAGAAGTGAAGTGCTTGACCCTTGTCAGAAGTGAAGTGCTTGACCCTTGTCAGAAGTGAAGTGCTTGACCCTTGTCTGAGCAGCACAGGCTCCCGAGAAGTCCAGGCTCCAGATGAAGGAGATGTATCCTGAGCCAAATTCTCCTGCCAGCACAGCCCCGAGGACGGCTCCGGACTGACCAGGCGCTCGCCGATTTTCATTTCAACACATTCAGCTTTAACATCTACCCATGGTCCTTCCACGGCATCCCTCGTAACTCTGCCAAGTCTCTGGGTAGGCGGTCATAGAATCAGTAAGGCTGGAAAAGACCTCCAAGATCAACAAGTCCAAGCGCCGACCCAACACCCCCACGCCTACTAAACCATGTCCCCAAGTGCCACGTCTACACGGTTTTTGAGCACCTCCAGGGATGGTCACTCCACCACCTCTCTCGGCAGCCCGTTCCCATGCTTGACCACTCTTTTAATAAAGAAATTTTTCCTAATGTCTAATCCAAACCTCCCCTGATGCAACTTGAGGCCGTTTCCCCTCGTCCCATCACCCATCCCCTGGGAGCAGAGCCCGACCCCCCCGGCTCCCCCCTCCTCTCAGGCAGTTGTAGGCAGC